TGTCACCCGTTCTACCGGTCAGATCTATGACCTCACCTTCCTTAAGCAAGGCCAATGTCTCGGTCACTACCGTCTTCTCGGCCAGATCCGTTACCATACTGAAATCAACATCCCTAGCGTTTACAAATTTGTTCGTCTGTTGGTAAGCAGACAGGATCTTGTCCTTGTCGAACTCGGAGAACTGTCTGAGGAAGTACTTGCTCATTATTCGGTCCGTAACCCCGAGGATTCTTAGTGCTACCAGAGTAAATTCCCGTAGGAAGTCATTGTACGTTGCGAAGTTCTTCCTTTGGACTGCCGCTAAATCGGCCTCCGTTGCCATCTTCTCCGCTGCCAGATATTTTCCCATCATCACATCCCGGGTTTCTCTCCAAGACCGGCTCGCGGCCACAATGGCCATTATGTCCCGCCCTAGGCTCAGAGACACATGCTGCCCCAGGTGGTCCATCTTCTCTTCTTCGGTCCATTTCAACAACGCAGCCAGATTCTCGTAATCTATCAGGAATTTCGTGATGTTCGCCCCATCAAACGTCAACTTTTTCTTAGCATCCGCTAGGTAGCCTTGATTTTTGTTTAGTGCGTGCGCGAGGGACGACACTTTCTTCTTAAGGCCGCCCTTGGAGCTGCTGGCCTCGCCTGCCAAACTGTTATCCGGACCTTCCTTGCCGACCTTCTGTCCCTCCCTGGCTTTCATAGTTCCTTCTGGGACAAACCATCCCAACACTCTTTCCCTAAGGCTCCAAAGTCCTTCGCATCCTCGTGTTACTGCTGGCGTGGTCGGCAGGCGGCTAGCCCTACTATCCATGGCTGGCAGAGTCGTAGCCTTTTCTGATTCCATCCCCGGATAGTTCTCTCTCTCTTTCTCTCTCTTGCTCGGCGTTCCCCCACGGTCACTACCCTTATCCCCTTGCCCATTCCCACCTCGGCTGGCTCTTCGTTCGTCCCGGGGTTCCTCCTGCAGAGGGCCTTCTTCGTTCCCAGTCATCATTTCCTCAATCAACCTTGCCTTGTATTCTGCTGTCCTCTTTTCTATCTCGGCTAGTTTCCGCCTCGCATCCGCCACCCTTACTTTCTTAGACATGGCTCCTTCCGAGTTTCGGGGGCTTGTCCTATCCTTATTTCTGCCCTCCTTGGTCTCCTGAGTCCCTTGCCTGCTTCCCCCGGCTTTCCCCGAGCTTTCTTCTGTGGAGATTTCCTTCCGGTTCCCTTTGGTACCATCCGGATTTATCGATTTTCTGTCCTTCTGCCCCCCTTCGTTTTGTACGGCACTGCCTCCTAAGCCTGGTTCTCCTTCACTCGTACGGTTATCTGTCTCCTCCTCCGTTGTCATTTTGCCTAGTTCTGCATAAGCCAAAGAATTCCCAGGACACACGCAATGCGAGGTATTTAGGTTCCCTAGGCCCCCGGCTCCGTTGGCTTACCTTTATAGCCCTTTTCCTATCTCTGTTTCCTAATTGCCCTTCCTTAAGGAGGAGCCACGATTGGCCCTGCCGTCCAGCCGAGCTATGAGCGTGAATTGGCTTCCTTTGTCACAAGCTCGTTTGTAGTGCCCTTGTCCCGTCAAGCCGATGCGAGGGAGTCCGGGTTAGGCATTCTGCTAGGGAAAGTCTTCCCGAGCAGTGTTTCCTATTTTTGACCTTCAGGGTTATGGTCAATCATTAGAAATCTAACCCCCTTCTTTGTTTTTCTAGTGGGTTTTAGCCATCCGGGTCCGAGGCCCCTTTCTTATTCCCATCGACGAACTTCCGTACACAGCGAACTATACTCGATCTGCCTTATTGGCCTACATGCGAATGCTAGTCCCGCTCTCGCCCTCGCGGCTCTTCTGGTTCGGTCGGCTCCTCGAATAGTTCAGCCACCCCTGCTAAATAACTCTCTCCTATCTCAATTTCCCTCTTAATTATGCGTTCGCATCCCGCCCAGTCTAGTCGTGGCGCCCTAAACATCAGGATGTGGATGACTTCCAGTAACTCGTGGGCCCTGTTTCCCCAGAACGGCCCATGCTCCACAGCGACATCGTAGAACATCCCAATGGTAGGGGAGGGAAAGTGGCCTGCCCAGACTATCGCTGAGTCTGCCAGCTCCCGCGCCCTCGCGAGGCTTCCGAAGACGAGGTCTATCATAAAACGGGGCACTCGGCATCTCAGTGGTGTGGTCGGCGCCGTGAACTCCCTCCAACCTCCCATTTTCACCCGGGTAAGAAAGCCCACGTTCCTTCTACCCCTCACTGATTGTCCTATCCGGGTCAACGTCCGGGCGGCCCTTCGAAAGACCGGTGCCAGCTCATGACCTTGTGCTATCTCTACCCCTAACGAGTGCCAACCGATCTCACGCAGATATATGGTCCCGGTAACTTCCAGGTTGGAATACAGATCGTCCCCGGGTCCTCAATTGAGTCTCATCCCTGTCCACCGACATTCTACCAACATGAAGGTGGCGTCCCATCCCAAGGTCAAGGCCCACCATTCTATGTTGAATCCCCGATAGGTAAAATTCGACGGGAGCGATACTTCCCATCGTCCACCGTTATTCCAGGGCGGTCCGGGGTACCGGGGCTGGCGTTCCATCCGCACACGGGGCTGGCGTTCCATTCGCTCATGTCTTGCTGCCATTGTTACCTTGGTGATTCCCTGCATAGTCCACATAGAAAGGGTTACAGCCAATCTTCAGAATCCGGACACCTACTGCCTCCCTTGCCCTTCGTGTTTCATCCCTCTTTTCTAGTCCCAATTATCCCTCCATACCCCTGGGAGCAGTAGCCCCCTCTGGCTGCCCGTACAGCCGGTAGAGATCATCTATGTAGGTCACGCCGCGACCTACCTCCCGCCGGATGACTCTCGACATGGCCTCATCACTTATTTGTGGGACTCCCGGCCTAGTATTTATCACTGCTCGTAGAATGCAAAGCACCTCGCGCCCCTGTTCGTTCCCGAAAGGCCCCATCTCTAGGAAGGCTAGGTAGTATTCTCAATACATTAATGCTTCGTCAAGATTTAGCCTAGTTACGGAAGTTATCGCCTGCTCCACTCGTTCTATGCCTCCCATTCATCTTAGCAAAAAGGGTGGTAGACTCGTTCGTACAACCTCATTTGGCAGCTCGAAAGCCCCCGCCACGACGACTTTTACCTCCGCCGTCACGTCATCTCGTTCCGGGTCTGCAAACTCAAACCCCTCCCGCCAGGTTATTTGCCATGCCCCTTCGAACATTCCCACGGGGTCATCCCCGGAAGCCAAGGCAATCCCAAAGGTCCGCCACCCCTCCTCCAACAGGTGTAAGGATCCTGTCGCATGTACACGCCCTGGGAGGCTCAAGTCTACGCCCCCGAACTCCCCTCTCGCACGCTATTCCAGCTCCACTACTAGGTACACCGTATCTTCCACCAACTTTACCCCCACCCAGTCTATTACCGGATTGCTTACCGCATTTCTTGCCGGCAGGCTTATTTCGACCCTGCCTTCTGATATTCTTGGCGGCAGGATCCCGCGAGGTCTATCCTCCCAGAACGTCATTCGCCGGGCCATCTTGCAATGCCTCCTTTCCCGCTTCCTTAGTCCGATTGTTGCACCCACCGAGATTCCGCATCTCCCGTGTTTTAGTCTTTCAGTACCCCCTTCCCGTCGTACACTGGTTCCCGCCACTATCCCGTCTCTATGCCCGCCCTTATTTTGGCCTCCTAGCGTCCCCTGCTGACTAATGTTCATGCCCCTTTCTTATGCTACACCCTAATTCGCATGCACCCTCCATACTCCGTTCTTCCTGTGGCGCTCGAACTTTGAGTCCCTTTAATCAAACCATCGCACCTCAAACAGCATAAAGACATCATCCACATAGGATGGCGCGGCCGCCGCCTCCCGGCTAACTATGGCGTCCCAAGCTTTCGCGCTAACCTCTAGGCGGTCGTATTTACCTATCCTCAGGATGGTGATAACCTCACCGGCTTTATCCCCGTAGAAGGGCCCATATTTTAAGGAGAGCCTATAGAACTCCTTGGTCAACCAGGCACATTCTATGTGTACTTTCCTCATGGAGTCGGCTACGTTTGCTATGTGCTCAAAACCCCCGAACCAGTCGGCCACGAACTCGGGCACCCAGGCTGTTATGCGCAGGCAGGGAGGCCTGAGTTCATTCCACCCTCCCATCACAACTTTGCTACTAACTTCGTCCCAACCTTCGTTGGCGAACCTCTTGCCTTCTTTTCGGGTTCGCGCCTCTGCATCCCCTAGAAGCCACATTGGATCTTGTCCCATTGCTAACATAGTGCAAAACAGGTGTCACCCGTCCTCGGAGAGGAAAATTGTTTTGACTGATTCCACTTTGCCTTCCGCTAACTCGTCCCAACCTTCCTCTTCCCTTATCGGGTTCCAAATCCGTTCTATCCATACATATGATAATTCTTGGGCAACCTCAAACCCAACCCAGTCACACGTGGTCCCTCTCCATTCGTTCTCTGTTGGTATAGGCATCTCTACCCCCCCTCTGAGTCGCCTTGGTTCCCATCCCTTGAAGGTGTATTCCATCACCATCTCTTCTCTAGTCATTTTTCCCTTTCCTGCACAATACCAGGCCACCCGTCCTTCCTAAGTTAAGTTACCCCACCCTCTTAGAAGTCCCAGTCCTCTATCTCTTCATCTTCGTCTTCATCACTGAAGTCGTCCTCCTCGCTGTATACCAACTCCCTTACCCCGTCTAGAAACGTCTCCCCAATTGCCACATTCCTGTAGACTATCCCCCAATGCACAGCACTAGGGACAAAGATATTGTCTATGCTAAGGCAATTTAGTATTTCGGCCAGCTCTTCCGCCCAGTTCCCCTCGAACGGCCCCATCTCTACCGATAACCGAAAAAAATCTTGCCTAGCGCATTGGTATAGCCCGAGGTTCGTCATGGACTGGCATATCCGTACTAGCCTGCTCCGAGTTCCGAAAACCGCATCCACTAGGAAGGAGGACAGTACACATCGCATGGTTCTTACGGGTCGCCTCATTCTTCCTCTATCCCCAAGTTCCACCCGCACGTTTACCCTTTCCATTTCCATTTCCCTTCGTTGACATGCAGCCCACACAACCTCTGTTTCTACCTTTCTAAACAACTCGTCTGGTGTATTCCCGAGTGCCAACTCTATGATCATAGCTTTCTCCCCATCTTGCGACAAGTAGACCCACCCCAGGGTTTCCACTGTCCCTCGAAATTCCAAATCCATTAAACTTGACAACAATCTCGTCAAGCTGACATTAGTCCATACTGTTTCTATCCAAAAAAAAAATTCCTCTCCTTCCAGCATTACCGTTTGATACGCTGGTTCAAGGTCCGTCCACGTCCCATTTTCCGGGAGGACGACCGATACTCCATCCTTTACATCTACTGGCATTTTCGGGCCGCTAGTATAGATCAGGGAAGGCAACCATCACGCCATCTTGTTTTCAGCACCCGACCCCTGTTTTCATTAAAAGAGCATCAACCGGTCATTTTGGTCAGGTCAACCCTTGCCCTAGATGAGAATTATTTCAGACCCCTCATCAAGGTCTTCCTATTTTACCTCCCCATTCCTAAGTACTTCCTTCTCATAATTCCCTCGGTCGGCCATCCATTTGCCCACATTCCTTCTCTTGGTTCCATTCCAATTGACCTCTACCCTCCTTTCTTCCGAACATCTCTCACTCGTGTGGACTCAAATGGGGGGGGGGGGATAGACTTAGAAATATGTCTCGTCCAACAGTCCAACCTCAATCAATCTTTACAGAGGGGGAACACATATAAAAAAAATCAGGCAATCTCATATACGAGTCAATCATCTCCTCACCGGCTATCCCAATATGGTCTCTCCGCTGGTACTATCGGTAGAGTTTTATCCCATACCTCAAGCGCAGCTCAACCATCGTGAGCGCGGTACCCAGGTCTCGGCAAGGCATTCACCCTTTCCTCCTTACCCAGAATACCCCATCCCGTCTTGCCCCTTTGCACATCCATACTGACACCGAGGGTGACCTCGAGTGACTAAATACAGGAACAAAGTCAGTCGTCCGGGCATTCACTTCCATCGGTCCGACAAGAATCAGCCTTTCCCAAAACCATGCTACGAGAAGCTACTAATCGCCTCCGAGGCTCCGTCTTTGTCCGCATGCAGTGGTACTCCCTCCGCCAGCCAACAGGCTAAGCCCCGCCTGAGGAGATTTCACACCCCGTCCGACAGATCATCGAGCCGAAGCCCGTCACTGCTCGAACGAGAATGCTACTACTCAACCGACGCGACAAACTCCCGTCCGACAGCTCGGTGGCCTGACCTCCACATACGAACACACGGCAGCCTACAAAAGAGAACGACCTTTCGCAACCTGCACTG